AAAAAAAAAAAAAAAAAAAAAAAAAAAAAAAAAAAAAAAAAAAACAATACTCTATTCAGGCAGAAACGGGTTCCTCTACCCATCACCTAAACACTGTAAATAATTTTAAAGCGTACATGTTAGTCCCATGCACTAGTCACCCCTGAACCACCGTATCCTCCATATCCACCGGGAACACCACCACCATAACCCCCACCACTACTGGTGTTGCCTCCACTATGATAATCAGAACCACCTCTGTTGAAAGTGGAATCCCTTCGATAGTCACGGCTACCAAATCGGCCTCCCCCAGAACGACGGTTTCTACCTCCACTGTACGAAGACCTGGCTGCAAATCGTGATAGCCAATCAGGAACTTCTTGATTAGATTCTTGCATAAGTTCAGCCAAGGACCTTGCTATGGATGAATTGTTCTCGTTAAAAAAGGCAGTTGCTACACCAGTCTTCCCAGCTCTCCCCGTTCGTCCAATTCTATGAACATAATCATCAATGTCATTGGGGAGATCGAAGTTCACTACATGTGCAACATGAGGAATATCAAGCCCACGGGCAGCTACATCAGTTGCCACCAAAATTGGTGTGTTCCCACTTCTAAAGGATCGTAATGCGTGTTCTCTTTCCTGCAAACGAGTATAAATGCATAAAACAGAACCGCGAATAAACTAAATATAACCCAAACAAAAGACAATGTTGCAATACATGGTCAAAACATAATTCTTAATCTCTCTCATGCATCCAATGAATAAAACAACCATTACCAGTTAAGAATATTTGGCTCCCTCAAATAATTTCTTGCCCAGAAGCAGGCACCCAGTTAATTAAAAAAAATTAAGTACAACCCTTGGAAGCATGAACTAGGTAACAGTAAAATCTATTCTGCAGACGAGAAAATTAGAGGGCAGGGAAAAAACTCAGATAACAAGATCAAAATGAGCTATCAGTTGTCACCACCTAAAACACCATCCATCTGAAGCTGTAACCCAAATATCACAACTCCAGTGTTCGCTTATAAACTCACTATCTAGATTCAATACATCAAAGACAAGTTATGCAAGATTGAACACTCCAGTATAAGGCTGGTGGCCCTTCTTGCATCTTCCAGAGTTCCAATGAAAATTTTCATACAAATTTTAAGAATAATACAAAACCTTCAGAGGAGAGAAGTCTCGTGTGCACCATTCCATTGCCAGTGATGACAAACTACTCACACTTTACTAAATTTAACAGGAATCTAAAACTCAGAAGCCACCTTAAGATCTGAATAATGCTGAGAATAATGAAATGATCGACAAAAAGAGGAAAGCAACAACAGGGCAAGAAAGTGTAACATACGGAATAGTAAATCAATCGACAGAATCAAACTCACAAGTAACATCCATACATATGGAAATGTTTTTATCCCACTACCGTGTCTTCAAGATCTTCAATTACTTAGATTTTATCTAAATAATAGGGAGAACTTAGTAAGTTCCTTTTTACACAAGACTTGGCTAAATTTAAATTTTATCCTTTGTGTATTAATTTTTAATTATATCCTTGGTAGTGGACATAAAGATTGATGACATGAAAATTTGAAATGACACAAAAGTTAGAGCCAAAATTGCATATCTAAACCATATTAAACTACTGTTTGATCACAGGAATGTTAAGTGACGAGAAGGATTATCAAACCATGTCCACAGAAGGAATAAATTTAAAATGGCATACACCACGAGAAAAAAAAAATCCTGTGTAATTTTCCCAGTTGGAATTAAACCTTTCCTGCTTGAACTTTTTCCCCCCTTTTTTTCCTTCTTGATGTTGTTGTGTAAAACAAGTAACTAGCATACAATAAATTTGAAGGGAGGAATGAGTGAATTATCTAGTATTTTGTATTAAAAAAATCATCAGTCGACTAAAGAACTGCATAGTGACAGCCTGAATAAACGAACAAGTTTCAAGCTGCCCATGAATTAATGTTCATATCAATGGGATTACTTTAAAAACAAAGGAAAAGAAACCACACATGGATTTGGGGGGATGGGGCAACAGTAATTGCTCAACAAAATAAATATGACAGGCACTAATGTACTAACCTGTTGTGTTCTATCACCATGAATAGTAGTGGCAGGAAAACCATTATGACATAACCAATTTTCAAGAGCATCAGCTCCCTTCTTTGTCTCCACAAAAACCAAAGTAAGAGATTGCTGCAAATTCAGAAATTATATAAGAATCTAAATACAGCATATTTAATTCAATATCTTTTCCTAGGAATGTGAGGTTGATAGAAGCACAAGTCAATGACAGATAAATTTGTAAGAAATATAATTGTCTAAAAACCAAAACGAAAAAACAAGATCGCCATGCATCCTCCCAATGATGTAGAAATATTAAACATACCTTGCCTTGCACACCATTAGCCCTTTGAGCATGAAGAAGGTCCAATAAATGACTTCTCTTATCAGATTCATGAACAAATTCAACTCTTTGAGCAATTAGATCAGTACTTGAACCCACTCTTCCCACAGCCAGAAAAATGTAACTTGAAAGAAAATCAGAGGCTAGTCTCTGCAAAAAAAAAAAAAAACATATAAGACACGACACAAGATTAAACAAAAAACAAGTATGATTGTGTTGATATACATCTTTTGTGAGGATAAACAATTAAGACATAATAAAAGCCACTACGATTGCCAAGATGTGCAAGGAGCATTAAAAAAAAAAAAAAAGTTTAATGTCAGAAGGAGAATTGTAAAAGCTCGTTGATTCAAACATGCTTCCCCTGTTCGGTACCATGTAAATACAAACACTTCACTTGGTTTATGGTGAAAAGAAATAGGAATAATATTAAAAATATAATGTATCGGGACGTAGACTTGTGCGCAGAAAAGGTACCTGAATTTCCCTTGGAAAAGTCGCACTGAACAGCATAGTCTGCCTTACACCAGGTGGAGGCATGTCCATTTGCTCTACTATTTTCCTAATTTGAGGCTCAAATCCCATATCTAACATGCGATCTGCTTCATCAAGGGCCAAGTATCTTATCATCTGCAGTGAAACTTTTGCCCTTTCAAGCAAATCTACCAATCTTCCCGGTGTTGCAACAAGAATATCGACACCTCTTTCTAGTTCACGTAGCTGATTTTTTTATTGAAAAAAAAAAGTATCAATAGTGCTATAGCCAAATAAATATAAACAAGCAAAGGCATAGGACGTGAGTGGCTCATGAAATGTCAAACCCAGAATTATATGACATAGAAGAATCATGTCAGCATAAAAATAGAACATGCATGACACCACAAATGAACCCTATGACAATAGAAGGACAATGTCCCACACGTCAAAAACAGCACACTACAAAATTTTCATGATACTTTTGACAAGGAAAATTATTAGATAATTTTATCATTGTGTATGTTTTACAAAGTTCCGGAGCCTCAAGTTGAATTACACCTTCCATCAATACATGATCGCAGTTTAATCCCTAAACCAAGAAGTTGGGGGATTGTACCAGCAAAGGAAGATCTAACCAATGTTATCTTGAAAAGATTGTTCATCAATGACCATTCAACATTTTAAATGTACACTAACAAATGTTCATCTTTATGATTATGCTTAAATCATTCCAAAGTAATTATAATAAACCATTTTTTCTCATGGCCGTAGCATATACTCCCTCACCCCTAACATATACTGTGATATAAATGTGTATCAAACGCAGCCTCAGAAATTACAAGAACAACACTTTGGGGCAAAATTAGTTTTGGTGCCGACTTTTCTTATCCAAACATGATACAATATAATACATACACACATATGTTGAGCTCAAATACTTCAAGATATATAAAATGATGAGGAGGAGGTAAAGGAACACAAAACCTGTTGGTTGATTGGTGCACCCCCATAAGCAACCACCACTCTAACACTTGTTTGATAAGAGAATTTCCTTGCTTCTTCATGTATCTGGAACACAAGAACTCATTCTTAAACTGCTAAATTGTAATAGTGAGCTGCTGGCTTTCTACATAATCAAGGGAAAATAAAATGGAAGTTTTTCATTAAAAACTTACTTGCATTGAAAGCTCCCTAGTTGGGGAGAGAATAAGTGCAAGTGGGTACACTGTGCGTGCACCTCGAGCTGGTCTCTGCACACTTTGGCCCTTCATTATGCCACTGATAATGGGGAAACAAAAGGCAGCAGTCTTTCCGGATCCAGTCTGAGCACAAGCCATCAAGTCTCTCCCTGCAAGGGAGATAGGAATAGCATGCCTCTGGACGGGAGTTGGTTTTACATACTTACACCGCCGAATATTGTGATTAAGTGCTTCACCCAAGTCAATTTCAGCAAATGTATTCACCGGAGGTGGTACATTTTCACCACTTGTTTCCACAGGAATATCTTCATAAGCATCAAAATTTATACCAGTATTTTCTTGCTCTCCAAATGCTTGCTCCGTATCGTCCTCATCTTCAAATGGGTTCATTTCACGGTCCCCCCTCCCACGATCCCATCCACCTCCTCTACTTCCCCATCCACCTCCACGACTGCCACCACCATAACCAGAACGATTATAATCGTTCTTTGGACCAGGCCAGCGGGACCCTACATGACCAGATCGATCGTTTCCCACAGCAGGCCCACTATTTGCTGCAGCAGGCGGGTCGGAAGAGGCAGGGCGATTCCGAAGATGTGGTGGAACATAGGCCGATCGGCCAGGTGCTGAAGTAGTTCCAGCACTACAATTGTTGGCAGAAGAACCAGCAGCTACGTTCTCAGCAGCCGGACTTGCGGCCAAATCTGCCCAGGAAGTTCGCATAGTCGGAGACCCTTTCACGAATGCAACTAAAAAGCTTGCCAATCCACTCCAAAGTACAACAAATTCTGCACATTATTTATCAATAAAACAAATTAACCCTCATCCGAAAACAAAAGGTTTAAACCATGCATGAACACAGTTAAAAACACATGGTATATTCGGATGCAAAGCTGTCAATCCCGCAACGAACTCAATGCGAAAACGTGGACAGCAATGCGTCCTCCGATCAACCAAAAGTGGGCCAAAAAACAACTATCTGATCAAAACCTCTTCTAAAACTAAAAAAAAAAATTAATCGTTCTCATTATCCCAGTTTCTTTTTCGTACGAAAAACATAACCCACAAAAGTAACAAAGACAAATAACCTTGATCTGCAGCAACGCCAAGTATAGGAAAGCTAAAGAACCCCCAAGGTGAAAGAAAATAAAATAAAATCAAGAAACAGAAAATAGTTTGAAATCATAACAATGCACGCAGAGACAAAGATACGAAAACGGAGACGGATGAAGAACCTGAAGAACAGGAAAAACAAAAGGGCGCAGATACCTGAAAAGTCGCAACAATAGTTGAAGATCAGGAACCCTAATTTTCGTCGTCGAGGGAGAGATAAAAAAGCGCTTGCTTGAGAGAACGAAACCAAAAATATCTGCGTTTCCCGGATAAATATTAATTTATATATATATATATATAAATATATCCAATTTTGCGTTTTTTCTGCTTTTTTTTTCCCTAAAAAATGGGTTGGGCTTTGGTAAAAACCTGTGTTTCAAATTAAAATCAATTAAATTTCTCCTCATTTTCTTTTTCTTCGAAATTAAAAAATTTTAAACTAATTTACCGCGTCCGTACATATCGAGTCTGGTGCCCTATCCGTATGAGCGGTCCATTTTCCTCACTTCCGATTTTTAATCCTTCTTCTCTAATTACCGCCTACGGTTACTCACTCTTTTACTCTCTAGTAAAAACTACTCTTTTTCTCACCTAACATAAATTATTTATGGAATTACGTGATTATTAAACCCAATGCAACATTTCTTTTATTCATTTTTACTATCTTATTATATCTCATTTTCGACCATATAATTAAACCCGAGCCAAGATTGGGCACAACATCAAAATTACTACAAGGGGCCTAAGCTCGCCTTGACCCCTAACCAGTGTCATAATTGCACTCTTGCAGCAGTAATACAGCAATTGTGTGACATTTGTTCCAACCCAACGAACAAGTTGGTTGTGAGAAATTCGAATTTCGTACATAATGTCAACGGCGTATGCTCAAGTCTCGAGTCACGCTTGTCAAAAATGTTTTTAGAAAACGTTAGCAAGGAAATATGTTGAAAACAATTTGAAATAAAACATTGTATAGATTTTAAGCAATAAGGCAACAACAACGACGTTGATAGCATATAATCTGAGTATGCATAAGTGACTAGTTATATCCTACTATAGTACACTTTGAGACATTTAATCCTTAAGAGGGTGTAGATATGATCTTGGTGAACGGTTGTACACCCTCGTATTGACACAATAATGATAGTAAATGTCTATCTAATACGAAAGCAAGTAAAAAAAGGTTATAACAGACATCCACCCATGAACAAAACGTCCTGGACAAGCATGACTGGGACATCTATCGTCGGTCAATCGGCCACATAGAACATGCCTTAATAAGTTATCTTCGTAGATTTATTTTTTATTATTCCAAAAATGTCACGTATTAGTAAAAATAATTGTAATCACTTATATACGCGAATCTTTTATTTTTGTAACAAAAATAGAATTACGTCAGCATTCATAACCCCATCTATAGTTCATCATTAAAGGGCACGCCCAATTTGTTTACGTTAATTTTAACAAAATTCACTGATAAGGGTACGTATTAGTGGATGTTACTGCGAGGTCCTGCGTCATTTGGAGATGATAACTAAACATTTTTTATAAGGGTACAAAAACCTCTCCCTAACAGACATGTTTTAAAATCGCGAGACTAACAGCGATACATAATATGCCAAAACATACATTATTTATTAGTAGTGGACTTGAGCTGACATAGTTATATTAAGATACGTACATAATCTGAGCCTAATATTACTCGAATCGTGGTTGAATCGAGTAGAATGAATTTTGAGACGGCTTGAATTATTTATCCGATCCTACCGACCGCTAAATCATGCAATTCGAGCATATATATATATATATATATATAATACAAAAAAGAAATTATATTTGAGAAGAAAAAGAAAATAAAAAAGAGAAAATGGGTCCCATTTGTTTTGGGAATTAAGAATTTGAAGGACGAAAATGGTCTCGTTTCGATCGCCCGTCACCCATTCACGTCCACAATCTTCAAAAACACTTTCCAACTATTAACAGAAAACGCCCTCTCACGCGATTTCGCCACGAGCCGCCACGTGTCTGCTTTTTACGTCAGAAAACGGCCACGTTCATCTCACGCGCGAGGTGTGAGAGTGGGGATTAGAGCTAACCCTGCTTCGGACCAAAAATTTCAATTTTCAATTCTCTCGAGAAAGAGGGAGAAAGGGACATAGGAAATTTAACTTTCATTTTTCAATCTTACTTTTTCTTTTTAGTAATTAGAAGAAGAGGACGGGGAAGAAGACGGAGTCCGTTTCTAGGGTTTTCCGAAGGATCTTTTAGGGCTCACGAAATTCTATGAACTTGAGGAGAACCATCACCGGATCGGCGGGATCTTGATCTGCAATTCGCTTTGCTTTTGGAGACAAGAATCACCAAAACGCACACAGGCGAAATCATGGATTCTCTATCTTTCAACTCCCATGGAAATCTCGACGAGCAGATTTCCCAGCTCATGCAGTGCAAGCCCTTGAATGAGCAGGAGGTACCTACTTTTTTGTTTATTTTTCTTGTTATATCGTAGAGTCTCGAGATTGTTCGCTCATACTCGGCGGTTCTCGGATTGTATTAAAGCAATGTGATGAATCCAGTCTGATCCGTTAGGGTTGCAGGATTCGGATTGAAGGTAGGATGCGTGGGGTTGGTTACCTTAGGTGCGTTTTGAAGGTAGATCTAGCGGTTGGATTATTAGAAATATTGTTGTTCGGGCAATATTTGCGTCCACTTGAAATATATCCCTTATCCTGGTGCCTCTGCAGTTGGCCTTTAAAATTTCACTTTCAACATTACCTCACTCCGAGATTATTTTCCCACTTGGACGCCCAGAACGTGTCTGTCTTGTTTTTTGGCATAAAAGATTGCGATACTTACCAGTCATCAAACCCGCGTGTGGTTGTGGCATTTGAGCGTGGAATCTAGTGATTGGCCCATCGATACCATGACATCTGACAGTGTAAATTGAGTAAAAGATTTCCTTGGAAGTATAATTTATAGTTGTACAATTTACGGTTTCCCATTCAGAAATGGGGCTGATCCTTGATGCAAAGATGGACGAGACAGGAGTTCCACTTTTCATGTCGTGGGATTGCTAACAATTTATACTATACTTATTTTTATCATAGATATCAGTGGGAAAGCCTGAACAACACCAGTTGCTTAAGTAATGGTATTTAGCTACCTATTTCCGTTTTTGGGACACTGCTCTGAACATTCTAAGAGTTACATTTCGCTCAACGTGAATTTATGGCTTAATTCAATATATCAAGATGGGAAAAGCTTGAGTTATTATTGTGGCAATGGAGAATTCCAAAAATATCATCCAAGAACCTTTACAAGGAAAGAAGGATAATGATCAGTTTTTATTTCAAATCCACAATATCAGTGATACATAACATAGTAAATTTTTTTAGAGTGGATTGATCATGTTCTCCTTTTATCATCTAACTTTGGATTGTTATATGTTTTATGAACAAGTCTACTAATTATGAGATCCAGTCAAGGTTAGCCAGGTGGGTAATGTTTTATTCTGATTACCCATAAGATGGTGTTTGCCTTGGTTATTATTATTACTTTCAACGGAGTTGAGCTTTGTAATGCTGGCGTGTAACCCTAGTGGGGGCATAAATATGGTTGGAGGTTGGTCATTCTTGTTGGTTCCAACTCTATTATTTTCAACAGAACTTGATTTCTTCTCATTTTCAAAGTCTGCACTTTCTAGATTTTTGTTGATGATTTCCTGTTGAAGACATTTTCTTTGTCATTATTAATTGCTCCTTCACTGACAATGGTTTGTACTATTTTTGTTATGTGTGGAATAAATGTGTTGTTTGTGGCGAAGTTTTTGCTGTTTTATTTGACTTAAGTATAAGCAAAATATATCTTTTGATGGCACAAATCAATAGTTGGTGATCATATTTTCTTCTTCTAGAACCTCAACTTAGTGTTTATTATCTCTACTGCAGGTTAGAGTATTGTGTGAGAAAGCTAAGGAGATATTAATGGACGAGAGCAATGTACAGGTGTGCTTTATTTGGTGCCATGCACTTTCTCCCACCGATCTCTCTTTGCACACTTTCCTACTAGATTTTCTTTACATAGATAATTTCTCTCATTAACATTGTTTTCACATTCTCATCATAATTATTAAAAAAAAAAGTGTTTGAAAGCACTTCTGAAGTGTTGGAAATAAACAACAAAGGGATTTACTATTGGTACTTTTTACTAGAATTATATATAATAGGTGCATTCTTCTTCAAATCCATTTCCAATCACACTCTTACTAAATCTGTTCAAGAAGTTGGTTCTATTGGCGGTTTACTCCCCAAAACAATTTTTGTAGCTGTTATAGCTGTCTTCCATGATCTTGTTTTCTTATTCAGTATTCCGATGCATTTTGTTCTTTCCACTTATACTGGGTTGTTCTGAATAATTATGACATTTGTTCTCAGGTTTCTAAAACGAAAATTAGGTCTGCATCGAAATTGAAACTGTTAATTTGTGATCTGTGATCTATCTGGGGTTGGAACTTTTATAATGGTCATTCTCTTGGTCTTGCATTCATTCTTCTCCTGCAATTTGACGATGGGTGTGTCATGGATGCTGCTTAATTTTTATGCTTATGCCTTGGGGTTTTCTGCTTTGCAGCCCGTTAAAAGTCCAGTAACAATATGTGGTGATATTCATGGGCAATTTCATGATCTTGCAGAGCTCTTTCGCATTGGAGGGAAGGTATCTAATTTGATCGTTGGCAAGAATTTTGTGATTATCTTTGCTGACCGATTAGCAATGAAAGCATGGGAAGAGAAAATATATACTCAAGTGTGAAAGAAAAGCTCTTGATATGCTGAATGAGATTGTAGGCTCTAGTTAATGTTGAATCATTGTGCTACTCCAACTTCAAGCATATTACCAAGTAGATAATGAATGGAATTAGTGATGGATATAGATTGAAGCAAATAAATGGGTACTTTACAACTTATTAACTTAATCACATAATCTAAAGCAACCGTTGAAGTAGTCAAATTTCTATGTTCACCACACACTTTTAGTGATAAGTTTTTTCAAAGTTTCTTTCTGAAGTTCTAGACTATGCTTGCTACTGAATAGTTTAGAGCAGCCTCTTATTTATCTATTTATTTATTTTTATATTATATCTATATCATCAAGTTCTTTGTTCCTCAAAAATATCTTTCTTGGGGCAGTGTCCAGATACAAATTACTTGTTTATGGGAGATTACGTTGATCGTGGCTACTACTCAGTTGAAACTGTAACGGTAAGTATGTTTTGTTTATGTATAGATGTACTATATACTTGGTACTTCATATATAACATGGCAGAATTTGTTTAAGGTACATACATTTGCAATTGAATTGTCACCTCTTGATTGGCATAGAATTTCGATTTTTTAGCATAAATTTTAACTTCAATTAAGTAGGGTCTTGGAATGTTTGCTAAACTAGGTGGTAACGAAAGCCTTGTTTTCTATTAAAAAGAGTAACTAACTTGTGTTCTAGCATTTAATTCAATTAGTTGCAACAACCATTTTAATTTTAATTTTCTATGGGGTTCTGTCCAAGAAAGATTAAAGGAGTAAATATTTGGATTGGAATTCTAGAGACATTACAAATTTTGAAATTTTGTTTTGAACTATGTAAGTTTGGTTTTGCATGCAGTATTTATGTTTTAGAACTAAGAACAACAGAAAAATGAATAATAACAACGTATCATAATGTGCAAGATTCCAGTGGCAATTGAGTTGAATAATTAGGTATATGAACTAGAATTTCGTCTTGTAGTTTTCTATAACAGAACTTGTATTGGGGGCAGCCTCTTTGTGTACCATTCTTACTTCTATCTCACTTCTACGTACAACTACTTTTTATTTCTGGTATTATAGACTCCGGGACCCATTTGAAGTTTGTGGTATTGGAAATTAAAATTTATCTTGATCCATAAACATTAGACATCACTTAATAAAACAACTGAAGGACCATTATCCTAAGTGTGGGCTTGTCCAATAATTTAATGATGCACAACTCCTTATGCCATGTTTTGTTAGCAACATTCAGCCATTCTATAGCAATGTAATCATAGTAGGCATAGGATGCTTTTTGGGGTAGTAACTCAACTTAGTTCTAATGCAAGTCATTTTGCAGCTTTTAGTGGCCCTTAAAGTGCGATATCCTCAACGCATTACAATTCTTAGAGGAAATCATGAAAGTCGCCAGGTAAATGTATATCACTGTCATTTCTGCTTAAATGTTTATCACTGTCATTTCTGCTGCTTACTTTCTAATGTTTATTTCCATTCTTTTTGTCTACCCAGATATATAATATTTTGGAAGTTTAAAGTTATAACATCAGTGAATATTTTTTTGGTACCATGGCCCCCTCATATGTTCTGTAATTTTGATGTTCTCGACAGATGTCATCTTTAACTCTGGTTTATGTTCCCTTATGCAGATAACACAAGTTTATGGGTTCTATGATGAATGCTTGAGAAAGTATGTCTTTTCATTTTTTTATTCTTCATACGCTGTTTATTTTTGAAGTTGAGTTATTTATCAGAAGATAGAAGTTATTTACTTATTAATGTAATGCACAAAGGAGAGTACACTTCTTTTGTGATCCAAGACTGTATTATATTGACACGATCATGAAGTATGAAGAATACTTTTTAAGTGCAACCCAAGCCTGACCTGTAAGTTTTTTTTAATCTTATTTCATTTGCAGGTACGGCAATGCTAATGTTTGGAAGACTTTCACTGACCTGTTTGACTATTTTCCGCTAACAGCTCTGGTCAGTTTGATTTAGGCATTATTATGTATAAGTGCATTGTGCGGTTTTTTTCCTCGCACCATTATGATTGCTGATTTATGTTTCTGAAATTGATTCTGATGCTTATTTATCTGATCTTTATAGGTTGAATCAGAAATATTCTGTCTGCATGGTGGTTTGTCTCCATCCATCGAAACCCTTGACAATATACGGAATTTTGATCGTGTTCAGGAAGTTCCTCATGAAGGTCCCATGTGCGATCTCTTATGGTCTGACCCAGACGATCGATGTGGGTGGGGAATTTCTCCCAGAGGTGCTGGATATACCTTTGGCCAGGTAATTTGTGTAGCCATCCCCTTGTTTAACATCTAATCCCTCATGTTTCCACCATGGTCTTTTATGAGATCTTCTTGCTGTTTCTCCAGGACATATCTGAGCAGTTTAACCATAGTAATAATTTAAAGTTGATTGCAAGAGCTCATCAGCTAGTGATGGAAGGATATAACTGGAGTCATGTAAGAAGTTTCTTCCCTTTCATCCTGCATTGATCTTTTGTTTTGGTGGTGTGGGAACTTAAAATTTGTAATTTGCTTGTTTTACAGGAACAAAAAGTTGTGACTATATTTAGTGCACCTAACTATTGTTATCGCTGTGGAAACATGGCATCAATTCTGGAAGTCGATGACTGCAAGGCGCACACTTTCATTCAGGTTACTTCTCCCACCGGAGTCTATTCATATCTTACATTTGTGTTCTCTTTATATGTGTAAAATGTTGTAATATTCTTTGCATATGCAGTTTGAACCAGCTCCTAGGAGGGGCGAACCAGATGTTACTCGAAGAACTCCCGACTATTTCTTATGATGCGCCTATTCTCAGATGGAAGTTTCTAGCAGCAGCTGTTTATCAAATATATGGTTTGGCTGTTTTTGCATTGGAGAATTTCAGTTTCCCTATGGTGAGGTGGTGGTTTGGGGGGCGCAAAAGCATGTAAATTCCGGCAGGTTGCTTCAGGAGGGAGGAGTGCATCTTTGAAAATCTCAAGGTTTTGCTGAAGAGAAAGCTATAGGGCTGGCGACTCATTAACTGCATGTGTAACATCTCCAGAGAACAATGTATTGCATCTCTTTTGTTTTTTAGTAATTTTTTCATGCAATTTTCTTTTCCTCTGGTTCGCGGGCTGGGCTCTCTCTCTGCCTTTCTGTTAACTATTTTGTAGGATGCTTGTTTTAGTTTTCTTTTTTGGGGGTTTACAGATGGACCATCAGTTTAATTTCCTTCCTTCAAAGAGTGCCTTTATTATTCTTTCCTATCATTTCTTCTGTTGTTACTGTGCGCTTTCCTTCCCTTGGCTTTTAGATTTTTTTTCTTTGCCTTTATTATTCTTCCCTATGTAACATACAAACAGCTTGTTTATCTTCAACCAACGAACAATCAGGTCCCAAGTGGAGAGCAGCACTGTAAATAGTCTTAGTAGGAAGCAAAGAATCAGATGCAATTACCATAACTGGCACACTCATTAGCCTCGCAGTTCCAGCTACATGGTAACAGTACCAATACAGTTCTTCAAAACTATCATATCCTCAATCAAAAGATAAGGATGACTTTGTTGAGTACTTAAAAATGTGTAATTATGTGAAAAAATGTGTTCGCAAGTGTTTAGAAAGTTATTCCAAACCGCTTTAAAGGACTGAGTTCTCCTGCCCCTTTCCTCTTTAGGGCTCCTACTGCTGTCCGATTCTTTTCTCATTTTGAATCGAAATTTGGACGTTGTGTGACTTAAAAGCAGCTTCCAGCACGTCCTAGGGACACCCTTCAAAGATGTCTTGCAAACATTCTTTGCACCCATCAAGCACTTGGGGACTTTCACAAGTTCATCTGTTCTCCTGCACCAAACTGCACCAATAAGAAAACAAAAAAGTCAACACTTTTCTGCATATTTTGATTTTGAAATGTCCAAAAATCCACGTTTTCATGGCTTCTCTGAGATGGGTTATCTTCATAATTCCATATATTGCTCTCTGCCGCTCCTTCGTCATCAGCAGAGTTCCCAAATAGAAGTTCTTCCCATATTCAGCGCAGATTCTCCGAAGAAATGAAGCATGAATCTTCGCCTCAAGAAATGGTTGGCCTCCTCAGATTGCTTTTCAACGTGCAAACCAGCCACAAAATTTAATGTCCGACGGCTTTTGGGTGCTGCAATTGCCCCATCTCTTCTCATTTCAAGGGTCGACCGATTTCGAAAATGCTTGCCTTTGCAATCAGCAATTCAAGAACTCATTATATAAATCTTTTGACAAAACCCAAAAAAATATTTTATTATTCGATACTTTCAGTTTAATTAAATAACATATCTTCGTTAACTTCTGAACAATTATTGAAATGCCCTACAAAATATTTTATTTATCGTATATTAAATATATTAAAAATACTTAGTTTATATATAATTAAAACCTTTCTTAACAAATTGCGTTTGTAGTCCAACGGTTAGGATAATTGCCTTCCAAGCAATAGACCCGGGTTCGACTCCCGGCAAACGCATTTTCTCTTTTGATAAAAAGTTACTCTTATTTTGATGATAATTGATTTAATCTCATTTTATATTTAAATATACTATTTCATAGAAAAACTTTTATTCTTCCCAAGAAAAACAATTTAAAATTTTATAAAAAATACAAAAACTAAACATAAAGTCCCCTCTTTATATCTAATCACCAAAGAAATTATGTTAATAATTGAGTTTTTTTAGATTAAATTTTGTATGTATGCTTATATCTAATCACCAAAGAAATTATGTTAATAATTGAGTTTTTTTAGATTAAATTTTATATACGAAGCATACATACAAAATTTCAGCCGCCCATGACGCATTATAAAGAAAAAAGAAAAAAAAAGAAATAATATTACTTTGAAAAAGACATGCCCCAAATGGACTACTGTTCAGTTTTAATTAATTAATTTTTAATTACAAAATTAAAAAAAAAAAAAAAGTCGCAATTTTTTAATAATAATAATAAAAAGAAAATAAGGGAGGCTATTATAAGGAATTGAAAAAAATAGAAATAAAAATAGCGGAAATAAATATCTCAAAAAGACACGCCTTCTAGAAGAAATGATTGAGGGAGTGGTGCGATGCATATGAAATTAAATCGTGGCCGACAAAAAGAACCGGAACCTCCATTTGTCGGACCGGGTCCACTTCGTAGCCCAGCCCTCCCCTCGCCACCGCCATGATGAATAATGTATAGGCTATAACATCTATCATAAAGTTTCATCTATAATATATATTGTAACGTCATGTCATATATATATATATATATTTATTTATTTATTTTCGAAAATTAAAACTTATAAAATACATATCATTTAATGCATGGGAATAGAAAGAAGAAAAAAATTTGGATACTCGTAGTCCATGGACGGGATCTAATAGATGCATCAAATGGGCGAATAAAGATCGTGTTTTGAAGAAATTCTTATAAAATGATCCTCTGATTCTACACGTAAAGCTCGTTGTTCTCCTCAATTCCCCTTTGAGGAACAAGGATGATAGTCCCAACATTTCATTACCTTCCCTTTTTTGCAGATCTCCTTTGGCTTCTTCATCATCTTGTTTCATCCTTCTGGGATATTCGATACGAGTCCGGGCCTCCTAAAAAAGCTTTCTGAAAAGAATGCTGACTGCTTGAACATTTTAAGACATTGAATCGTCTTGCTCTTGTGAGCACTAATCATCAGTGGTAAAAGTCGTTGGAATTCTCATTTTTTTGTCTTTACACTCTCCTCTATACGAATTTCAAATGTCTTTTTATGGTACAGATGATTGCCCCTAAGGCACGTACCAACATCTTTATCTATAACCTGAATTTCTTGATTCACGACGTCGAGTATCTGCACTTTTAACTTCGTGACTCGACTTGTAGACGATGATACCACCACCTTCAAAGACGTGATCCTCTTTTCTTCACATGTGCTAATGTTCATAAAAAGCTTAGAAGTCGGCCCTTGTGTTCTGATTCAGGGGGACCAACAGCCACTAGCTTTCGACTCATTGGTAAAGTGAGAGCACCTCCGAAAGAAACGAAACACTTCATTCCATAACTCAAGTTTATCTTTCTGTCCGTCAGAAGGTGAATCATAACCAGAAGAATTAGTCGAAAAATTAGTAAAGGTTAATTTATGGTATATATTTAATGCAATTAGTAGATATTTATGTAATTACGAAACTTTTAAAAAATATATATCATTAATATTAAATTTAAATCTGAACTTGTGTGTGTAAAGTTAGTTGAAATATTATAATGCACGTATTAATTTTTGTTACCTAATTTATTGACTCCCAAATTAGATGATTAAATTATGAACCTTATTTATTTTTTTGGAAGATTCTCATTTAACATTATTAATTCCAATAATCTTATCTTATAACTTAGATAACATTTGAGGCCCCACTTAGCAAAAAAACCAAAACAAAAAGTAAAAGAAACGAAAATGATAACATTTCAGGCCCCACTTTGCAAAAAAAATTAAATAATTGTCATTTATACCCAATAAAATTGCTATGCCTAACTCTAATATATTTTAATAATTATATATAATTCCTTATAAATTACGGCCTACTTTATTTATTATTATTTTTATTGCAAATAATTTGTGTTAAAGTATTTTAATTTTTCGAAAATTTAATAAAAGTTTTTTTTTATAGAGTCGACTTAAATATAATTTAATTATTTTTAAGATAAAGTTTATTTGTTCGAGACGTTACAAATTAAAAAATTTATTGGTTCAAATTATTTGATATTATTATATAAAAAAGTATAAATTTTAATTTATTAAATGCGTTGACTTGAAACATACATTAAAGCAACGTAACGTGATTTAGTGTTGTTACGACATATTTAATTATGAATTTAGATATATTTTAGTGTGACCATTTATTAAGAGTTGACAATATTAATTAGATTTATTTCTACTGCAAAAAAAATGTTTTTTTTATTTAATAGATGTAGCACTCAACTTTCAAAATGCCTATAAATTTTAGTCATTAAGTAATGATAAATTTTATATAGATTGATTACAAAGGGTATTTTTGTCAACCATAATAAATTTAGTAGATGATGCAATGAATCGGATACCCGAAGCGTGACCCACCGACCAATTCGATTTTTTTTTTATTTTTAAAAAATTTAATACAATCCAATTCAAATTAAAAAAAGTTTGTAATAGAATTATTGATATCTATCCTTTTAAATATTTGATATTTGAATTTGAACTGATTTTAGTTATTTTAAATAATTTTAGAAGAATCTCTCGAAATTTTGACGTTTACAAAAAAAAAATTTTAAAATAATTTTAGAAAAATAGGAAAATAAATTGTTCAGCTATGAACTCTATTTCAGTCACTAACCATCAAACTCGAAATTTTGACGTTTACGAAAAAAATTTAATCCAACTACTGATTTACCACGCTTTTTTCTCCTCGAATAAAATATTTAATATTTTAAATTCAACGCCGTGATTATCAAGTCATTAATTTAATTAGGAATATGTCAATAATTATAGAATATTTTGTCAACTTATTTATTACTTTTTTTTTAAAATAATGATAATAATTAAAAACAATGCCGTTTATTTTTTTTTTTGCAGTTAATGTTTACCTCTTTCAAAATAAATACCGGAGACATTAAATTTTTGTTATTAAAATAAATAAATAAATAAATAAGTATTATATATATATATATATAATGGAGACAAAATTTTATAAACTTATTTTTCCATTATTTAAGTATATTTAAAATAAAAATCGACTTTAAATTAATAGAAAAAATTAAAAAAAAAATGGCATGGTCCACTAAAATAAATAAGTGAGAATGACATGTGAAAATTAAACAAAATGATTTAAAAATTTTTTTATTGTGGGTCCAACAAATTATGATTTTTTCTCCCTTACTTTTTTAAAATTAATTTTAATCACCATTAATATTTTTAGTGACACAAATATGTCGGTGTGAGATTATGAGCATGCTTGTTTTTTAAACAATATATTTCTAAAAAAAATTAATTTATCTAGACAAAATTTATAAAAATTATTTATTTTAATTTTTTTAAAAGACAAAAAAAAATAATAACAAGATTCCCTTTATTTCAAAACAAATAAAAGGTAGATAAAAAATAAATTAAATAAGGTCATAAATAAAAATTAAAATAAAATTTTGGTTTTTAATTTTATTTATTACCCTCTTTATATCTCTAACCAAATATTTAAATTCCGAGTCGAATTAAAACTATTTTTTAATGTTTAAAATTTAATTTAAATATTGAAAATTTTGTAAAATTAGATAAATAAATAAATTTAGTTATTAAAAAAAAAAAAAAACTTGAAGTGGACATATATCTGAACAAAGGGATTGATTAAAGATAAAGATTGGTTTGGATACTATGAATTGAGTGTGACAATACAAAATTAAAATAATGTAATAATTATAATAAGATATATAGACTTTATGGCATGTGACACCAATTATTTTGTGTTGATTTTCCACGTATAATTCCAAATAAATAAAACATTTTTGTTTTTACCTCCCTAGGCCCCATTTCTTTTGCTTTTTGCTCCCTCCCTACAACTTGCTTCTCCTTTTCAACCTTTTCAACTTTTGCATTTTAGTCCACTCTTTTTCGTATTTGCAATATCATTCCTTAAACTCAAATCAACCGATATATCTTTTTCGCCCCACTATTTCCTTTATTCACGATAAACCCTTCTCCCGATTATTTAATTTAACAAATTATTTACAATAAATGAACAGGACAAACGTCTATTTTCAAGTAACCCTGACCAAAACAGGTTGTTAATACGAGTAAGCTAAGTCCATTAGAGTGAGCGTCCTTGTATAGTAGTTTCGTGGATACTCCTTTCGAGCTATGGTATTAATTATGACCTTCCTTTTCTAGATCCTATTCTCCACGTCTATTTTAAATATCAATATTGGAAAGGAAAATACAAAGCGTACCCGTGAACAACCCTCCAAATACTTTTTTGGAAAGTTTTCGGTTCAAATCAGAAATTGATTTTCCAATTTTACCTTATTATTTTTATATAAAAAAAAAAACAAAAAACAAAAAGAAACTAGTTGCTTATTCACTATGCCAGCCATCAATCTTCTAGAAGCTTTTTTTTTTTTTTTTTTTGGAAAAGTGGGGAGAAAAAGTTGTCATTTTCATAGCCATAATGGACACTGAAAAAAAAACCCTAATTTTCAAATTTTGCAAGTTGAGCTGTGCTCTAAGCTTTATTTTTTCTATATTTATCTTTTTGCAAAAATTAGTTTTTTTTTTCTTAACCTTCTAGAAGGTTTTTGTGAGTGGTGGCCCTCTTGTGTCTTACAAGTTTATCCAACTAATTACTTTACATCAATTTTATCCAATATTCAATAAATATTTTACTTTTCAATCTAAATTAATAATATTAATTTTTAAAATTAATTGTATCTTAAGAATTATAAGGTAAAGAATTCAAATCTTTCATCTTAGTT